ATTTTTTTTTATTGATTGTTTTGTTTAATGGAAAATATTGCGTAATGGTGCGCACAAATTGAGCGTATCAAATGTTGCGTTGCAAGCGCGAATTGGTAAAATCACCGTTTGGCGTTAGCAACCATTTTAAAAAAAAACGATAGGTTTGCATATCTTCCCTTTGTAATATTATATAAAAATGTAATATAAATTACTTTACTAATAATCCTAAAAAAAGGAATATTTAGAAATTTAACAAAAATAAGAAGGCAGACGATAATATAATTTTCAAACAAATCCTTTTTTTTTTACAATTTATTTAAAATTCTGCAACCTCAATTTAAACAAGGGATGTTCCAAACACGCCGTTTTTCAAAGCGATAAATAACAAATTCAGCTTAATAGTTGTGTTGTGTGCTTCCAAACAAAAGTGTCTTTTTAATGCATACGATTTTACTTTTATTTTAATAACAAAATAGCTTGATATTTTTTAACGATTAAATGGCGCCTGATACGATTGTAATGAACAAGTAATTATTTTTATAATCATTTAATAAATGAAATAGGAGAAATTTAGAATCTGATTTGATAAATTTTGAAGAAGCACATGACGATTTATGGAACCAATGTAATAATAATAATTATTTTAACAGTTTAGTACTCGTTGAACTATGGACATTCTGCGATTAAAAAGTAAAAAGAAACTTGATATTGAATCACCTAATGTTGACTACTTTATAATAAGAATTTTTAATCAATAAACTTTTTAATTAAACACTATATCCCAGCACTTTAAATAACCAACTAATAGATAACGACTCGTTTCGTTAGGCAATCAATTTATGTTTGGGCGTACCTTTCCTAAACCATTATACTTGCATTAAATGATTATATCGGCAGATAATTATGGGAGACACGCTTTCCACTGTAAATTTATATCAAAAATCAACCGACACAAAAAAATTCAATAATAACTTATTTTTTAAATAAAGCCAATTTTCCTTATATTTTAGAACCGACATCTTTTTTAGATAAAAAAAGCCCTGACGGCAAAACAATCTACCGTTTTTAAAGGAAAAGCCCTTAATGTGGAATTTTACCTGCATTGATCCCATGGTCCCATCTGATAATTTGAATGATCCCCTTTAATAAAGCTGAATCTCTAAAAAATCAAAAATACTCGCACCTAATGTAGACAACCTTTGTTCCCATAGCAGCTACATCAATCTGCTCTTTTGGACAAGAGCATTAAATCTCTTCTAAATAATATCCAAATTAATCAAAAAAATCATACCTTTCTCCACAAGCAGAAAATCGCCGTCTCTTTAACTAGATTTAACTATCAAATATTTAAAACATCCCGGCCCGATCTCGCCACCTTATTTTTTAAAAATAAAATTATTTTCTTTTTGTAAATATATTTTAAAAAATTTTTACTCATTCAATTGTATTAATTTTTTTAAACTTGAACTGATATATGACATATTTTACTACATTCTTTTTATTATACCATCCATGTTAATTTTTAAAATAATAATATTTTATCATATTTGTATATGAATTTTAATAAAAATCGTCTATCCACCCAATTAATATTTCCTTTAATAAATCAAAACAACATAAATCTTTATTTAAATAAATTATTTATCTTTATCCTATATAAATTAGTAATTATTTAACCAGGCTTAATTCACCCCCATATGTGGTGTTGTTAAATGGCTCGTTTTGAACCGATTTTTAAAACGGCTAACTCCATATTTCGTCTAGAATAATATTACGCAGTGAAACTCTTTATTGAACTATATAATGTTGTACATTTGCAGCACTGGAATTTTATATATCAAGCAAGAAAAAAGATTCTGCAGATGCTGAAAGAATTTTTTGCAGACTATTATCAAGCCACAATTTTTAATATCAATTCAATGTGTTTATTTTTGATTGCATATGATTTTAGCAAAATGCTACAAATAATTGATATGGATTTATGGGAGGTTAGGAATAGAGCAAACGATATTGTTGAAATATTAACAAATAACAGAGAGAATGTGGGTGAAAAATTTCATGAAATATATACTTCCGGTTGAAGTTATAACAATAACCAAGGTAAATGAAGAGGAAAGTGCATCCAAACTAACTAAAACATCTGTCTCTACTCTTAGAAGAACTAAGAGGACTCTTAACCATGAAAGAGTGGGTGATATACCTAATATTGACAAAATATCTAAAATTGGCAAATCATCTTCAAACACTAATCTGAGGGATTTCAAAAAAAACTTAGAAATATTTTTTAAAACCGGAAATAACAAGAAAAACCAAATTTTAAGAGTTCGAGCATAAAAGTTTATATTTTTTTTTATTTTATATAAAAATTGATAATTTGTATAATTATCAATTCTGCAAAAATATTGATAATGATAAACAATGGTTTTCGTCTTTCTTTGAACTTACAAAGATGTGTGGTCGGACATTAGCCGAATGTTAAAAAAAAATTAAACGCCATACTTTTTGGCGCTTTTTTTTTAAAAAGTGTAAAACTAACCGTCTTGATAGAAATGGATCAAATGATTAAAGAATATATATCTTTAAATTCATTTTAAACATTTGCCCAAGACAACCCACACCCGACCAAGCGCGTGACCAATGGGGTGGGGGGAAATAGGAAATTTTCATTTCTCATTGCGAATTTGCCTGTTTTCGTATAAATATCATTTTAAAAGCTAATAAAAATCCTCCCCCCCCCCTCCTTCCTTCCCTATACACACTTACCATCCAACCACCCTCTCCCCAGAAAAAATATATATAACAACATATCATTTATAAGGAAGAATATGAAACAAAAAAATTTTAGTAAAGTTAACGACTAAAATTCAAAATCTTTACTCCTCCTTCCTCCTTCTAAAATCCTGGATACGCCTACCGTAGTGTTGACGGCTAGATTTGTGCCGATTTTTGAAAACGGCTAACTCAATATTTTAGCCGGAAAAATATTGCCCTAGGTCTCGAAATTTTGTTAATAGATGCCCAAACCTTTGTGTCATCTATGAACAAAATCTTTAGGCTTGCATAATATTTTTCTGAATGAAACATTGAGTAAGCCGTTTTTAAAAATCGGCTCAAATAGAGCCTTTTAACAACACTACGCCTCTGTCAATTTTTTTAATGTAACCAAGTTTAAATTAATCGAGCATAATTTAAATAATAATGGGAAATATTTTAAAATTAAAATTTATTAACTTTTCTCAATTTTTTTATTATTATTATCAATAGATGATAAAAATAATCTTAATCGGGGGAAGGAAGGTAGAAAAGTGGGATATTTTATTTTAAGAAATATTTCTTTTTTTTTTATAGAAATTCAATTTTATTAAATTTAAAATAGGATATATAAACTCAATGATTAAAAATATATGTTAAAAAACAAATAAGCATATATTAAAAGTAAATTTTTTAAAAAAATATATATGTGTAAATCTATTAACATAAAAGAGAACTGAGAAGAAGAAAATTATTTTTTAAAAAAAGGTCCATATCATCCTAGAAAATGATTTTAAAGAAATTGAAAGAGCATCACTTCCTTGGAATAAACACGGTGTTGGCGAGGCAAGCATATTTGTTTTTTTTAAGGATTTTGGCCATTTCGATGGCAGAAAATGAGAGATTAGACTTGACGGACAAATTCGACACAGGTATAGTCCCAAGCGAGTGGGAGACCATTGGTCCAGGGAATAATTCTTATAATTTTTACAAAAAATAAAATATTTAGATGAAAATATGAAAATATCCGATAATTTTCTCAAAAAAAAATGAATACAAAAAATATAATTTTCGAAACAAAACTTTAAAACTTACTTTAGGGCTAATATTGATGGATAAAAATTATAAGAGGAAAAACCTTAAAAATAAATGTCAAACAATAAATAAATAAAAATACTACAATCCAAAAAAAATTTATGACAAATTTGTTTTTTTTTAATTAGAGACTAATAGGCGACAAATAATATTATTTTTCTTTTTTATATAAAAGATTTAACGTTACGATTGAATGATTTCACATGACAAAAAAAAGGCAATAAATATAATTAAATAATATTTTAACGTCAGCGCAAGTCTGAGCGCTTCGCTCCTCAATCATGATTAGCACAAAATTTTGAACATTCCGCCCACGAATTCGAGTTAACCGTAAATGAGGGGTCTAGCGGATATAATTTATTTCAGATTGTATCGAGCAAATTGGTTTAAATTACCCAATGACGTTAGAAACCATTTAAAAGAGACAAACTGGTTTGTTAAGCAAACTCAATTTAAACAAAGAATACGTAGCGTATTTTTTTTAAGATAACGCGCTCAATTTGTGCGCCTTATCAAACTATCCCGAGTTTTTTTTTTGGAAAGTTATATCGAATGATTTGTAATATTCCATTAGATTAACGATTCATCATTCATCACATTTAAAAGTATTCCATAAAGAGGAGTCAGCTGTAGCTTCATTTTGGGGTTCGCTACCACGAAACGACTCTACAGCTGACCTCCCATGCATGTACACTTACTTTTAATTAACGAATTGTCAATCCAGTTTGTAATAAATGCTAAACATCATTAGTTTATATCTTAATAAATTACCGTTAAACCAAAAAAAGGTTTTCAACTTTCTGGATGAGACCCTAAAGCAAGAATAATTCTAATTATTTTATTTATATTTATTATTTATCCTTTTTATTTTCCTCTTAGTTTGTCCGAAAATTTTTCAATTTAACTATAAAAAAAATAAATATATTTTCAATAAATATAATTTATGCGTAACCATGCCTTTCTCTACAGGTAAAAAAAAAATTTACTTTCTTCATAAAAAAAAAGAGATAGATAAAATTGATTATTGTTATAAAGACAAAATTGTCCAAAAAAACATGAAAATTTAAAATAATAATAATAATTTATTTTATTTTATACCTATTTTATTATTTTTTAAATATCTTTATTTACCCCCAAAATTTGAGAAAAATTTTGCTTAATTTTATCAAATCATCACTGATTATTTAATTTTTTTCACTGTTCCCAATCATTTTATGACACACAAAAAAAGGAAGAAATTTCAAATATGAATAACCGGGTACCTCATTCGACTCCTCTGACTTTAAAATGGTAAATAAATAAATAAAATAAATACAATAATTAGTTTTACAGAAAATAATTTCTTAAGTCGCTATTATTTATATTATATAAGTAATATAGTTTTAGTGTCATTGTCCACATTGAGTCGTAAATTTATATAATGGGGTTATTAAATACATTTACATATTTGACTAGTGGGCTCACTTGTTTTAACGTGGTTGCCTAAAGAAAAAAAATATTATGTGCAGGGCATCTTAGTTTTGTTTCTTCCCATTTTTCTTTCTAACATATTTGTCATTGCCACGTCCCATATCATCTCAGTCTTCATCAATGTACTTGTATTCAGTGTTTACATGAAATTAGGTGGGGGAGGGGAGCGGATTCATTTGCTCAAATATATTTAAGAGCGAATAGGGAGTAGGCTCCCAATAGTTAAAAATATACTAGGGCGTGTATCATGGGGGGGGGGGGGGTAAATCTCAGGCATATTGTCCCCGATTTTTGTCTTTGATGTAGGCGTTGTTTGTCCTTATTAGATCGCCTTATGCTTTTCGTGGCCCTAATTTTAAGAACGCGATTTGTTGGGAGTCAAACCCGTTATAACCTTAACATTCTCACTCCATTGAAGAAGCCAATCTATTATCCATTTCAGTGGCACGTCTCTCCATGGTAGGTATTATAACTGATTTATAATATGCTTCTTAGAAGTAGGGAACTATTTTTGTTCAGGATAACTCACGTTTTCTATTGAAAATAGCCCTTGCTTCAATTGATCGATATATTTATATAACTTCTATTGTAGATCCAGAATATTTAAAGATTTTAGCCTCGATTATTAGATGCTTATATCTGTGTCATTGTCGTATTTGTATTCTCATATTTTCATTTAATCCCTATTTGCTAACTTTCAAATCGTATTCTAAACATTCATTTACATTCTTCAAATTCCGCCATTTTATATTTACTACGAACATATCACGACATGTCATCGATAACATATCCATAATAATGGCCTACATTATCATAATAAATAAGAATGAATAAAATGTTTATCCCTGGTGGATTGAAACATCTATAAGGGAAGCTGTTCATTATTCTGCATATCGTTTGTGTATATATCATTCCTGGATATCCAATGTGTTACTTAAACTTCACCATATCAATTCTTGGAGTTTTATCGAATGCTTTCTCCAATACCAACATCACACATAAAATTAATACTCCTTTTCTCACTATATTTTCCCATTAATAATGGAATTTGCTTAAATCTGATTTTCCAGGTATACATATAACCGTTATAATTTTTTTTCATAAATCTCATAATTTATATTTTTAAGCTTATCAGCTTGGCACCATATAATTTTTGCATTCTTAAATGACCCCTCTGTTAAGAATGGACTCCTACTCAGAGGGTGGATTTTATAACACAGGATCATTATTGAAGTTTGGAATTGTGTGGAAGGAGAGTAGAATGTATTGCTAATTGAATTTCCTTTCTTTGCTAATTTTAATTTGGATTTCGTTTTTTTCTGTTATTTTTAATTTTTTTCTAGGGGGGAGGAAGGGGTTAGTAGGAGTTAAATTCATATAGGTTAATTTCGACTTTGGCTTAGGGAGGGCAGGGCGTAGAAATACCTGTAATGGAGAACTAGAGAAAAAAAAAATTTGACTTTACCAAATTTTCCATATTATGTATATATGTTAAAAATTTTAAATTGAATCCTATATCTGTTAGGTTGGAAAGTAACTACGAGATCAAAGTTGGTAGCTGTTTTCCCAGGTGTTCCTTGTATTCCAATTATTTGGAATTTTGCGGGAAAAATTTTATGTCACCCGTAAACGCGGCTAGTTTAGGAAAAGTAAGTTAAAAAAATCAATAACTATTATTCGCAATTTATTTAAGAAATTTCAATCGAAATATTTCCTTAAAGCGGTGGAGTTGATGATTTTATAAGAACCAATAAGTATAAATGTTTGATTAATAGACATTAGATAATCAGGATTAGATATGTTTAGAAAATTTAATATTCATTTAACAAATTTCTATTCAATGTTTAATCAGATAATTAGACAACAATTTCCGCATCTGACGACTAGAAGACTAGGAACCCGAGGAAAGTCTAAGTATATACAAACGATCAATTTATTTTATTGATTAGTAATTATAAGAGTTATAACTATATTTTGGTCACCTTCCGCAGGATTAGCTAAAATAGGTTCTGCCTGAGTAAGGCCTGACACTAAGTAATAGTATTATACGTTTAGATATATATACAAAGTTATGGTATGTGGTAAGATGGATAGGGGTCAAAGAATGGTAGATATATGAAATAACTATATTCGATATATTTTACTGAAACCAGGCTGGACTAAAGCCTGAAATAAATTGAAGCTTGGATAAGACAAGGGTTTGTTACATATTACTCAAATTAAGTATACGGGGTAAGGCTTGATATTGATTATGACAGGTATAAGTAATTGTTATGTCATATTTTACCTATATGATAAGCTAGGTAATGTGGAGTATATGAAATGACTAGACTTTGTAAATATAAGATGGATAGGTTTAGTAAACATGAGGCCTAGGACTAGATTTGTTTCACTAAACTAAGTTCGAACTAAATCCTGATGGGGACTAGGGCTGGGATAGTTAGAATTTGACATAATTTATCAAAATTAGATACAAACTTACACATTACATTTACGAACATACTGTAACAAAAATTTATAGGATTTATGCTATGTTAAAATCATTATTAAAGTTATCTGCTAATTTTAGTAAATATTTAATAATTTATATAACAGATTTAAGGGAATTAACATCTTTATGAATAGTTTTTAACTTGAATTTAGTAATTAGTTTAAAATTTCTAATATTATTATGGCATGACCTGAGATTTTAAAATGAAATTATAATTTTTTGAAAATTACACCTTACATTAAAGTGTTTTTAAAATTGTATTTTAAATTGGAAATTGAAGATATAGTAGTTTAGCGATAATATGTGGATAGAACATTTTTCAAGTTGTTAGGACTGATTAAACAAAAATATGGTAAGAATAATTTTAGTTTAAACTTTTATGGAACAGACTTGGGTGCTAACTAAATTTTATAAAAATTGCAGATAGGACACTCTAATTTTATTTTTGTGTATCAAAACTCTTTTTAATATTTTAATTTTTTTTTTAAGTTGTCACACGTCGATATTTAATTCAGCAAAAATGGCGATTTTTCTAATCCAAAATGTCTGCAGAATATGTTGCATTTTTATAACAAGGCATTCTATTGTATATTAAAAGAGTGTTTGATGACGTTTTTTTCCAATATTTTTATGAGACTTAAAAAGTATTTTTACTAATAAAAAAATATATATTAAAAATATTGGGCATATGACAAAATAGGTATCATTACTATGGATTAGCACCTAAGAAGGAACCAAATTTTTATGTCAATGGTGGAACCAGGAATGACAAATTAACCTTTGAATGTCTAAATCATTTTCCATATTTGCATGATTCCGTTCCCACATCTAACCAGGCTAATGCATTGTATGATGGCAGCAAATTCCTATACACCCAAAACAAAAACGTAAGAAATATATTAGGTTTATATGAAATAAATAAATATGATTAAATTTGGTTTGATAAAAAAAATGATAATTAAGGGAACACCTACCCATATTACCGACCATGGAAGTAACAACAATCAGTATTATAGCCAATATGATTGCAATCGAGAAAAAATTTGCGTTAAGAGTGAGATAAACTCAGCAAATGAAGTCGTAAATTATGCTTATAATTGTTCAGTGTTTTTAGAAAATAAATTTCTTCATGAAGCATTGTCTAGAATTGATGAGGTATATATATATATATATACATATATGTTTTCATTATTTTCTATTAAATATTTTGAATAATGTTAAATGATATTATTTTTAAATATTAGTTATTATTAGTGTTGCTAAATCACCAACTTCAAAGCGGTTTAGCCCTTTTCTAAAATAATTCTTTCCAAGAGTCGAAATTCAGAGTCATTTTTTAAGCTAAAGGATTTGGATGAGCTCTTAAAGGCCAAAGCAACATGGAAATATAAGAAAAATTTGTAAACACTTTTAGAGTAATTATTTCTTAGGAATAGGAAAGTTAATATTAAGGAAGGGTGAATATGTTTTTGTAATACTGAGGGATATCTAACAAGTAAAAAGTATTCTATTAATTAAAGATACACCAAACAATAAATACCTATTCTATTTTTAAAACGAATTTGAAAATTTGAAAAGAATCATCAAAATTTTGTTACGAAATATCAAAAGTGCAATTTCGACATATGGACCTACATGAATAACATTGCTACTCCTCCGAACTTAGACAGAGTTATAAAATGATATTAATAAATTAATAAATTATACATTTGTCTTAATATTGTTCGATATTATACTTTTTTTTTAATAACATTAATATATTAAATATAATATAAAAACAAATTATATCCCTTTATTTATTTGAAGTTAAACGAGCTAATCGATTGCTTGGTTCAACACATTCGGTCTATTACGATGGCCTATAAAAATTTTAGTGTCAAAGATCCGTTGTCAAGTAGCGACATCAATAAAATCTGTTATCCTTCACCAATCCCTCGTAATCCAGTGTTGGCGATCGATGCCAAAAATAATTGTTTAAATAAAATTTCGATGGAATCCGTGAATTTTTATCATAACTGCGTGGTGGCAGAACATACAAATGGTTCCTATAACATTGTTGCCGAAGAACCAATAAGTTCGGTTGACAGATCAGATCTTACCCAGAATATCGCGATATCTCTTATAAACGCGATGGATCTAATCGATAAAGATTTATATATTGGGCTCTGCCTACTCGCTCTTCAACCCTTAAAAGAGATAACGAAAGGGAATAATGGGTAACTATTATTTAAAAGAAATTTTGTAAGTATAAACATAAACATCATGTAACGTCCTCGTCATAATTAAGTAGGCTAAGTTTTATGAATCCTTTTTTTTTAAACAATGTTTTTCTAATAAATTAGGATTAAGAATGTGATCATAAAAAAAAATCTCTCAAGTGCTTTGCGCAAATATTTCACATCCGGCGCTTATTTTATTTAAATTTTAAAATTGTTTGACCAATCCGAGACTTCCATTTATCTGAAAGTTCAGTTAGATTAGAATTAAAAAAAATGTCCCGCCCGTTAGGAACTATAGATTTATGTACCCAGTTATACTAAATATAAATAAATAAATATATATATATATATATAAAACATATAAAAAAAATTAGCACAATCCTCGGTATACTCAAAATATTTTGCGATAAGTTGAATAAATGTTTTGTTCATCACATGCAAAGGGAAGGAACTTCGACGGCTTTAGCGATCTATCACTCCAAAATTCAAAGTTGATCATTTTATTTAAAAAAGAAAATTAGTTTATAAATTAAATTTTTTTTTTTAGAATATAAATGATAATCAGTATCAGCGGCACCCGTTAATTCATACTACTTAAGAGGGTACACGGATGTCAATTTTACTAAAACTTATTTAAACTTGTATTAAGAAGGCTGGGAACACTGAAAATCATGTCTAAAAATGAACCTAAATATTTTATATCAATAACAGATTTAAATCGTATGTCCGCTGCCGTAGATGTGCTAGAAAACTTAAACGCACTGCTATCACGATTCGATGCAATGATGTCGGACGACAAAGGAGCCCTAAATTCGATAAATTTGGACTTGTCGAATATATCTTTCGAATATGACATTATTCCGCAATTGTGCAAGCGTGACCCGCTTTGGCCTCTCATTAACAATAATATCATTATGCAGCAATACAATGAAAGTGGATTTGAAGAATATACCGATGATACTATAATAAGAAGTATATTTTAATATAATTTGGAAGACTTTATGATTCCTTTGTCTGTAAGTATTATTTATAATTTAGCTTAAATAAAAAATCTTTATTTTAAAAATTAAAGCCAACTATCGCCCCGAACCATAAAAACTTATGATATTATATCAAATTATAAACATCTAATGGATAATTTATCAGGACCCACATATTCTTTAGTTGGGTTCCCAAGAATGAGTCATAATTATATTTGAAAGTTTCTTTTTGTCGAAGATAGAGATCCTAAAATTTTTAAAGTCATCATTTTTTTTTGTTTAGAAGTTTTAAAAAAAATTATAAGTTAGGGGAGAAAATGTCCATTTTTTTTTGTAGACAAAACGATTGGAGTGAAGATATAGTTTGTTAGTTTTTTTATATTTATGCATTAATCAAAAAAACAAAAATTTCGTAAGCACAAAATATTAGTAATAAATATTTGTTATATTTATTGTATTTAAAATTATATGATTTTAATATTTACGAAATATTATCATGTTTAATAATATGTATGTTTAGCGATTAAATCATTTTTTGAGCGCTTTTTTTTAAAAAATTTAAAAATCTGATATTACGGGAAATGTATTCCATTCATGTTTTAACTACCCTATGAATTTCAGACAATTTTTCCCAAGAACTTTTCGAAATTAATATAATTTAGATAAATGATTCAAAGGAACATGATGGAATATATTTTAGGTAAAATTCCGATTTTTAAATTTTATAAAAAAGGGGGCTCAATAATGATTTAAACTTGTACAAATAACGCAATCCCGGAAAAAAAAACACATCTAGACGCTAGGAAATCTGTTTTGGAAAACGCAAAAATATATGAAGGCCAAAACGGTACAGAACCAAACTACACGAAATCCTCACTATTGTGTCTCTTAGAAAAATATCATATAATAAAATATACAAAAAAATTATATTAATTGAATAGTAAAGCAAACTTAAATAATAATAAAAGACCGGTCCAAACCGCGGCCCGGACCGTAAAAAATAAAAAGACCGTTCCGGACCACGGTCTTCAAAATAGATCGGTCCGACAATCAGTCCGGTCCCGGTCTAAGATCGATAGGACTTTTCCAATCTTATGGGGGGATTATAACTTTTAATTTTGCTCTCATAAAATTTACAGAAATCGGGAATTTATTCTCATCTTTACAAATGGACAAACTCAAAGCTTGTAATCTCATCGATTTACTCGAAAAATCTTTTCCCAATTGTTTCATACAAGTGAAATAACAATTTTTTTCTTTAAAGATCATATCGATAAGTTATACTAGTGTTGTTAAGGTTTATTATTTTTTTTTTTCGTTACATTTACAAGTTACATTAGGTAAAAGTTAACTGATTCCAGTTACACTTATATATTTTTCCATAAAAAAGTTACAAGTTATTTTTAAAAACGCGTGTATATAATTAGTTGGAGCTAGCTATATTTTTCCCTAAAAGGTGGCTGCACATGCGTGATTAGATTAATCAATTTTAAAATAATAAATTCAACCACCAAACATTTTCATTTTAAAAATTGCTAATTAAGTTTAAATTTGTTAAATATTACCTTTGAAATTTGATTTTGATTGTTCGAAAGCCTATCTATCCCCTTACCGACATGCCCCAGTCCGAAATATTGAATAGCATTTCACTGTCAAATCTCGAAACGCTTCACTCGCACTTTACGAGATACGTACACCATACTTTGAAGAAATCTCGGAATTTCGGTAATTTTTTTATTTTTTCATTTTCCACACTTATATTTCCGATTTTTAATTTTTTTAAAAAAAAAATGCTTAAAGGTTCTATCTACGTTTTGTTTGTGAATGTATGTCGTTATTCTTATTTTTTGAAATATGATTACTCTACAATTCGCTTTTCTACATGATGTTTATGATGTTGTGATATTTGAACAATGTAAAATTTGAAAGGACTTTTTTTTAAAATTATTTCTCTTATATAAAAGTAAGTAAATATATTATTTTGGTTTTAAAAGATATCTTGCGGGCGATCAATCTATTCCTCTCGGACTATATTTTATTTAATATATATCTGCTCAAACTCAAAAGTTAAAGAGATAAAAATGATGGTGGGTTCAGCTGTTTACCGAATTAACTGACTTGAAGAAGAAGTATGTAGCCCGCTTTAACTGAATTTTTAACCGAAATAAAACGTGTAAAACGCGATTTTTTTATTAATTTTTTTTTTAAAAAAAATAGTTATTATATTTAACCTTGAAGAAAAACTATAATAGTATTATAATAATAAATATAATTAATTTTTTTTTTAAAGTTTTATATATCCTATATTTTTCATTAGCGATACCATTTTTAAAAAAATTATTAAGAAATTTTATTTTATAAACCCATATAAATGTGGTATTTGTTTATATAAAAACCCCATTTGACGTATATTTTATAATAATTGAGAAAATGGAGGTAATTTGTTAAATCGTTGAATTACCATTATTTGCGAATAATTTTAAAGAATAATGTAAAATGAGAAGCTTATCTATATATATAATAGCCATATTCAAGAAATGAACGTTTTCGTATCTTGGTAATGTTAATTTTTTTTTGTATCAACTTTCATATCTTCATAACGTTAATTTTTTCACTTTCCTATCTCATAATGTTAAAATATTTTTTTTCCATCAACTTTCCTATCATCTTAATGTTAAATAAATCGAGGGCTATTATTATCTCGCTAATGTTAAAACTTTTTTTAAAAATTTTTTTATGGCAAAACAGAGATTCGAACTCGCGACCTATCGTTCGGAAGGCAAACGTTCTTACCATTGAGCCCCCCCCCCTTCCAATATTATATTTTGATATATTTGTGTATATATATGAAGCTTTATATACTTTGCGCATGCGCCTAATTTTGACGTAATTTTTGAATTTCTCACTAATATATTTTTACCGTTATTCAATTAATTATACCGCCAACAATATTGGAATCTCTTGAAATGACATTAGCTACCCATTTTTATCATGCTTCCTTCATTATTGATTAAAATTTCATAAAAGTAATTATTAAAATTTAGATCTTATAACTATTCTTTAAATTATATTTAGCTATTTGACAAACAAAAATAAATCTCACAATACACCCTGACATTAGCTACCCATTTTTATCATGCTTCCTTCATTCTTGATTAAAATTTCATAAAAGTAATTATTAAAATTTAGATCTTATAACTATTCTTTAAATTATATTTAGCTATTTGACAAACAAAAATAAATCTCACAATACACCCCAAACAATATTGGAATCTCTTAAAATGACATTAGCTACCCATTTTTATCATGCTTCCTTTATTCTTGATTAAAATTTCATAAAAGTAATTATTAAAATTTAGATCTTATGATCAGGCCGAGCCCAGGCCTGCAATAAAATTTGTTTTAGTTCAATGTCTGACTCATAGTTAATAACAAAAAAATTCCCAAGCCCAGCCCCATAATTCATTTAAAAATACAATCAGAATATGAAAGTCGCATAGGCCTTGGTTTTTTGATAAGGCCTGGCCATGTCTGCGAAAAAAAATTTCCCGGCCAATGTTATCTCTATTTTAAATTTTACTTAATATGATATCTATCACAATTTTAAATTTTATTCTAAAATCTAAATATAAAATTTAATTTAAGACATTGTTATTAAATTACAATAGAAATAAATGGAATATAAAATTAAATTGTTATTAAATTACAATAAAAAATAAATGAAAATTATATAAAAGTTGCATTGGACTTGGTTTTTTGATCAGGCCTGGCTATGTCTGAAAAAAAAAATATCAGGCCAATGTCTATATCCCATATTTAAAATTAAAAAATTTTCAAGAATCTCTATTTTAAATTTTACCCTATTTCTAATACCCATAATGCTCGCAGGTTACATTGCAACAATTTTACCTCTTTTTCTCTTAAATTTTAATATTTTTATAAAATATATTAATAAAGCATATTTCTTATCATATACACCTAACTAATTAGTAATTACCCACAATAGAAATAAATGGAATATTAAAATTAAATTTAAGACATTGTTATTAAATCAAAATAAAAAAAATGAAAATTTTATGAAAGTTGCATGGGACTTGGTTTTTTGATCAGGCCTGGCTATGTTTGTAAAAAAAAATTTTCAGACCAATATCTATATCCCATATTTAAAATTAAATTTTCAAGGATCTCTATTTTAAATTTTAGCCAATATGATTTCTCACAATTTAAATTTTGATATTTCTAATACCCTTAATGTTCACGTGTTACATTGTAACAATTTTACCTCTTTTTCTCCTAAATTTTAATATTTTTATAAAATATATTAATAAAGCATATTTAGTATCATATACACCTAACTTAATAATTACCCATCAACCCGTCATTCTAATTAAATTAAGTTAATTTTATAAAAAAAAGTTTCATATATATACAAATATATCAAAATATAATATTGAAGGGGGGGGGGCTTAATGGAAAAAAGTTTGCTTCTGAACGATAGGTTGCGAGTTCGAATCCCAGTGTTGCCATAAAAATTTTTTTACATTAACGAGATAATAATAGCTCTCAATTTATTTAACATTAAGATGATTGATAGGAAAGGTGATAGAAAAAAGATATTTTAACATTAGGAGATAGGAAAGTGAAAAAATTAACGTTAAGATGATAGGAAAGTTGATAGAAAAAAAATTAACATTACCAAGATACGAAAACGTTCATTTCTAGATTTAGGAATTTTTTTGTGTTACCAGTTATTTGAAAATAATATTTAATTTTTATTCTTTGTAACGTTAATAAATAGAATACTATGGAAAATAGACAATCTCCCAAACAATTAAAGGAAAGTATCCGCAAATTACGGAATCACATAAAATCCAAATATAATAATCCTAAGTTAGTTTCATTAACTACAACTCATAATCCTAATTCAAATTTATATCTCCCAATTGATTTATCAATTAAAACTGCTATGATTAGCGCATGCATAAGCCGTTTTCATCAAAAAATAAACAAATCTTCCCTACCACTTACACTTTTATTTTGGGAAATAGAAAAAGATTAAACATAACAAAAGAAGTTTTATTTTCCAATAATTTAGATAAAATATTTTTATTTTAAGGAAAGTGGTCGTAAAGTGCGAAGTCATATAAAATCCAAGAAACCCAAACCTATAGTAGCTTTAGTACCTACACCTCAAAGTATTAATTTAAATAAACCTTTTCCTATTGATATATCAACTAAAACTGCTAGGATGCGGGCATGTGCTGCCCGTTTTCGTCTAAAGCTTAAACAGATTTTCCCCACCACCTATACATCTATTCTTAAAAATAGAAGTAATTTAACACATTTTAATACTAATGATATTCACTTAATAACTGAACATACTTGCGGGCCTATGAATATCATATGTCAATTTTGTTTTTCCATGAATTTCATAGCTGAGAGACCGACCGACGGTAAATTCACACAGTGCTGTCATAAAGGGAAGGTTATCTTAACCCAAATACCATATCCTCCTTATTTAAAAAATCTTATATCAAACCCTCAAGATAAGTTACATAATAATTTTATGAAGAACATACGTTCTTATAATTCAGCAGTAGCTTTTGCATCGATGGGCGCAAAAATTTCGGAGCTTACAGGTAGTGGCCCTTATTGTTTCAAAGTGCACGGCCAAATATATCACCGCACATCTAATTTATACCCACCTTCTAATGCTTTGCCTACTTATGCCCAGTTATACGTGTTAGATATGACACAGGCTATAGATAAGCGTATACACCATCCAGCAAATAGTAAATGTAATAAAGATATTATGAAGCAATTAGATCAGTTAATACGACAAATTAACCCCTATGCTCTTAGTTTTAAGACATTAGGTGAAGTCCATCAATCTGCATTAGAATTAGCAACTACTTCTAATACAAAACTCCCAACCATTAATATGATCTTTAAAGGAGATCGTTCTAGCGATCGACGCCGTTATAATTTACCATCTATGGATGACGTAGCTATGATTTTCAATAATGAAGATGGAGAGCCTCCTTTCAAAAGAGATATTAAAGTCTATCCTGACCCCATGGTTTATCCTTTACTATTCCCTCATGGTGAACCTGGTTGGTCTCCTAATATGATCGCTGACAATTCTGACTAACAGGAGCTCTGGTAAATAATGATAGTATTTAGGGTGCTAATAAGAGATATTGTTTCATTAAAAAGAATATTCCCCGTCATTTTTGACGGGTTATCAACTAGTTATAGATATTAAGTTTGATTTGGGCCGCACGAAAAGAATGGGCATAGTTAAATGGGGAGATAGTAGAAATCATAGGCAAAAGGGAATGGAAGACTTTTCCTTGGAAAGTTTTTGAACGTTCTTAAATAGTATTTTAAGCCAATAAAAAAAATGATTTGCCCCTACAACCCCAACCTAAAAAATATGTAAGTTGAATTTCGTATTAAATTAATTGAAGATTAAACCTAAATGAACGATGAGGTAGGCAGGGAGTTTTTATGATCAAATTTTATAATTTATATAGATCAAAAAATTTAATAATCCTTTTTTTTTTCATTTTAAAAGTAATAAATATGTCATATGGGGATTCGGAATCTCTCAATTTTAAAATCATTTACCTAGAGCGATTTAAAAATATTTAAAAATCCGATTTAACCCGAAATGCATTGTAGCATGCGTCGAGTATTTATCCTATAAATTTCAACCATAGACATTTTTGATTTTTTTTAATTTATGAAAAATCCATGTAAAAATTAATATAAATTAGGCGTAGTTTCTAAAGTTTATTGCAAAATTGTTTGAAATTCACAGTTTGGGATAAAATTACAAGGTTTTTTTTTATATACGCAAATATGGATAATCAAAATTATTAATGCGAATACGTGATATTTAATTTATAATAATATTTAGTGTTTTAATTTAATAATATTTCCAGTATATAGCAGAACCCGATACCATTCGATCGATTTTATTTTTAAAAGTTTGTATGATGGAAGCGTATACACTATAACTAATAAAAATAAAAATTTAATTTTTCCAATCGGGCTTACTTCCTGACATATGGCCATTAGTGATCTGCATCGGGCCTAATTTTTCAAGCCCGGCCCGAACCCGAAAATTTTTTAAAAAAATTTACCGACCCGGCCCGAATTTATTTAAATATAGAAATTAATTTTTATAATTACTCAAAATAAAAAGACATATGTTACATGTCGTTTAGTTTCAATATATAAAATCAAATATTTTTATTTTACATAAAAAATTCAATATAAAATTGATAAATTTAGATATATTTAAAAAAAATTCCAAGGTCCGACCCGGCCCGGCCCGAATTTTTTTTAAA